AACCACCGCACCCAGCCCAAACGTTCTTTTATATGACTATTTGTGGACATATTTACTTAGTTCTTTTAGATATATGTCTAGAAGTAGAATTTCTAGTTCATAGAGTAGATGTACATTTATCTTTAGTAGTAAAGATAAATAGTAATAAAACTATTGCTAGTTTTATTACTGAATAGTTTTATCAAGTGTTAATCTCCATTCCCATCAATGTATAAAAGTTCTAGTTGTTTCACATCCTCAACAACACATGGATGTTTCCAGTTTTCATAATATTAGTTATTCTAATGGATATACACAAGTATTTTATTGTGGTTTTAGTTTTCATTTTCTTGATGAATAATAATGTTGAGTACCTGTCCATATGCTTATTAGTCATTTGGATATCCTCTTTCAGTGATTCAATCATCCATGCCCATGTAGTGAAACCCAATAAAAACTCTGGACATGGAGCTTGAGTGAGCACTTTCTATTCCATTGATATGCTGTGTGGGTGATGTGTCCTGAGGATAAGGAGCTTCATATGTGGAATTCTTCCTGACCTCACCTATGTGCATCTTCATTTGGCTGGTCTTGGTTTGTATCCTTTATAATAAAATTGCAATCAAAAGTAAAACACTTTCATGAGTTCTGTAAGTCATTCTAGTGAAAGATCCAACCTAGGATAGTGGGAACCCCAAATTTGTAGCCTGGAAACTGGGAGCTTATAGCTAGTGTCTGAAGTGAGAGGAGATCTGTGGAGGAATGAGACCTTAACATGTTAAGTCAGCATCAGAAATACATTACAGGTGGGGACATATTAAGGATTGTAATGTCTTCTCGAGTAACTTACCCCTTTATCATTATGTCATGTCCCTCTTTATCCCTGAGAGTATTTCCTGCTTTGACGCATGATTTTTCTGAAATTAATAATAGCTATTCTAGATTTATTTTTATTAGTGTTAGCATGCTCTTTCCCTATTCTTTTGTTTTTAATGTATCTGTGTTTTAAAATTGAAGGTAGGATTCTTTTTGTCAGCATACAGTTGGGTCTTTCTTTCTTATCCACTTAGAATCTCAGTCTTTTAGTTGTGTATTTGAACCAATAATATTTAAAGTGATTATTGATATAGTGGGAGTAATATCTGCTATATTTGCCCTTGATTTACTTATCAATCGATTTATTTGTATCTTTCTTTCTTTTGCTGTCTTCTCTGTTTGTTGTTGTTTGTTTCTTGTGACAGGGTCTTGCTCTGTTGCCCAGGCTGGAGTGGAGTGGTATTCTCTTGGCTCACTACATCCTCTACCTTCTGGGCTAAAGGGATCCTCCCACCTCTTGTTGAGTAGCTGAGACTATGGGTGCATAGTCATGCTGGCTAATTATGTTTTTTCTTTTTGTAGAGATGAGGTCTCTCTATGTTTTTCAGGCAGGTCTTAAACTCCCAGGCTCAAGTGACTCTCCCACCTCAGCCTCCAAAAGTGCTGGAATTACAGGTGTTAACTACCCCACTCAGCCCTGCCTTCTCTGGTTTTAACTGCATATCTTATATCATTCCATTTTCTCTCCTGTCATAGCATATCAATTATATCTCTTCAAAAAAATTTTTAGGCTGGGCACAGTGGCTCATGCCTGCAATATCAGAACTTTGGAAGGTCTAGGTGGGTGGATCATTTGAGGTCAGGAATTCAAGACCAGCCAGGCCAACATGGTGAAACCGTGCCTCTACTAAAAATATAAAAATTAGTCGGGCATGGTGGTGGGCTCCTGTAGTCCCAGCTATACAGGAGTTTGAGGCAGGAGAATTGCTTGAACCCAGGAGGCAGAGGTTGTGGTGAGCCAAGATCAAACCATTACACTCCAGCCTTGGCGACAGAATGAGACTCCATCTCAAAAGTAAAAGAATAAAAAAATTTGTTAGTGGTTGCCCTAGAGTTTGCAATATACATTTTCAACTGAAGCCAGTCTACTTTCAAATAACACAGCATCACTTCACAGGCAGTTCAAGTACTTTACAACAGAATATTCCCATTTTCTGTCGCCTGTATTTTTTATTTTTTTTTTGAGATGGAGTCTTGCATTACCCAGGCTGTAATGCAATGGTGCAGTCTTGCGTCTGCAAGCTCCACCTCCTGGGTTCAAGCGATTCTTCTGCCTCAGTCTCCCAAGTAGCTGGGACTGCAGGCACGTGCCACAACACCTGGCTAATTTTTGTATTTTTAGTACAGACAGGGTTTCACTATGTTGGCCAGGCTGATCTCAAACTCCTGACCTCATGACCACCTACCTCAGCCTCCCAAAGTGCTGGAATTACAGGCATGAACCACTGTACCCAGCCCTCTTGTTCTTTTTAGTTTCACTCTTGTTCATTTCACTTATCCATAAGGGATAATCACCCGCTATGCTGTTGCCATTATAATTTTGAACAAACTGTTATTCATTAGATAAATGAAGAACAAGAAAAGAAAAGATATCGTCTTCATTTACTCCCTCCCTAAAGCTCTTCCTTTCTTCATGCAGATCTGAGTTTTTACCTGTATCATTTTTCTTCTCTCTAAAGAACTTTTAACATTTCTTACAAGTCAGGCCCACCTGCGACAACTTTGCTCAGTTTTTACTTATGGGAGTAAGGCATTATTACTCCCTCACTTTTTAAGGATTTTTTTTTTTTTTTAAAGACAGAATCTTGTTCTTTTGCCCCAGCTTGGAGTGCAGTGGTGCTATCATAGTTCACTGCAATCTCAAATTTCTGGACTCAAAAAATCCTCCCACCTCTGGAACTACAGGCATGTGTCACCACACCCAGTTATTTTATTTTTATTTTTAGTAGAAAGGAGGTCTCCCTATGTTGCCCAGGCTGGTCTTGAGCTCCTGTCCTGAGTGATCCTCCTGCCTCAGACTCCCAAAGCATTGGGATTACAGGTATGAGGCACCATGCCAAATCAGATAATTTTATTGGGTTATGAAATTCTAGGTTGGTGGTTCTATTTCAACACATTAATTTTTTTAGCACACTCTTTTCTTGCTTGCATAATTTCTGAAGAAAAGTTAGATGTAATTCTTAACATTGTTTCTCCGTATGTAAGCTGTATTTTTCTTCTCTGGCTTCTTTAAGAATTTTCTCTGGATCTTTGACTTTTGATAGCTTGAATATGATATGCCTAGGTATAAATTGTTTTAGTTTTAATTCTTCCTGGTGTTCTCTGACCTTTTGGGATCTAGAGTTTGATGTCTGTTGTTAATTTTGAAAAATTCTCGCCATTATTAGTTCAAATATTTTTTGTTTTCCTGTCTTTTTTCTCTTTATTTACATTCTTACTATGTGCATATTAATTATTCCTTTATTTCTTGGATTCTGTCTTATTAAAACATTCTTTCCTTGAATTATAGTCTTTGAGGTTTCTTTTCTTTTCTTTTTTCTTTCTTTTTTTTTTTAGACAAAGTCTTGCTCTGTTGCCCAATCCAAAGTACAGTGGCATGATCTCGGCTCACTGCAACCTCTGCCTTCCAGGTTCAAGTGATTCCCGTGCCTCAGCCTCCTTAGTAGCTGGGATTACAGGCATGCGGCTGCATACTCGGCTAATTTTTGTATTTCTAGTAGAGACAGGGTTTCACCATGTTAGTCAGGCTTGTTTCAAACTCCTGGCCTCAAGTGATCCACTTGCATTGGCCTCCCAAAGTGCTGGGATTACAGATGTGAGCCACCATGCCTGGCCTAGTTTTTGGGGTTTCTACTGACTTTCTTCAAGCTCACTCATTCTCTCCTTGGCCTTAGCTAGTCTACTGATGTACCCAGCAAGGGCACTCTTCATTTCTGTTACAGAATTTTTGTTTCCAGCATTTACCTTAGATTGTTAGAGCTCCAGTCTTTCTGCTTGACAACATGATTTTATATCTAGAAAACCCCATCCTTTCTGCCCAAAATCTCCTTGAGCTAATAAACAACTTTAGCAAAGTTGCAGGATGCAAAACCAATGTACAAAAGCAGTAGCATTCCTATAAACCAGAAACAACCAAACCAGGAGACAAATCAGGAACACATTCCCATTCACAATTGCCATAAAAAGAATACAATACCAAAAAATACAGCAAACCACAGAGGTAAAAGACCTCTACAATGAGAATTACAAAACACTGCTCAAAGAAATCAGAGATGACACAAACAAATGGGAAAATACTCCTTGCTCATGGATAGGAAGAATCAATATCATTAAAATGTCCATACCATTAAAAGCAATGTACAGATTCAATACTATTCCTATCAAATTACCAATGGCATTCTTCACAGAACTGGAAAAAACTATTTAAAAATTCGTATGGAACCTAAAAAGAGTCCAAATGGCCAAGGAAATCCTAAGCAAAAAGAACAAATCTTGAAGCATCATGTTACCCTACTTCAAACTATACTACAAGGCTATGGTAACCAAAACAGTATGGTACTGGTACAGAAACTGACACACAGACCAATAGAACAGAATTGAGAACCCAGAAATAGGGCTACACATCTGCAACCACCTGATCATTGACAAAGCTGACAAAAGCAAGCAATGAGGAAAGGATTCCCTATTCAATAAATGAAGCTGGGATAACTGGCTAACCATATGCAGAAGATTGAAACTGGACTCCTTTTCACACCATATACAAAAATCAACTCAAGGTAGATTAAAGATTTAAATGTAAAACCCCAAACTATAAAAACTCTGGAATATAACCTAGGAAATACCATGCTGGGATTAGGAACTGAGCTAAATGATGAGAACACATGAACACAAGGAGGAAAAGAAAAGACACTGAGACACATCAGAAGGTGGAGGGTGGGAGGAGGAAGAGGATCAGAAAAAATAACTATTGGGCACTATGCTTAGTAGCTGGCGGACAAAATAATCTGTACACCAAACTCCTGTGACACAAGTTTACCTGTATAAAAACACTGCACATGTACCTCTGAAACTAAAAAGCTTTTTAAAAAAGAAATAAATACACCCAATTTTCGTTCTTACCAAAAAAGAAAAGTCTTTCTTCTTACCTTACCCATCTGTTCTTGTAGGTTATTCATTTTTTTTTCCCATTAGAGCTCTTAGTATATTAACTAAGAGTTATTTTAATTTCAAAATCTCTGCTATATCTGAGTCTGGTTCTGAGGCTTGCTTTGTCCCATTTGACTGTGTTTTTGTTGTCATTGTTCATTTTGCTTCTCTGCATGCCTTGAAATTTTTAGTTGGAAGCCTGAAATGATTAGGTAAAAGGAAATGAGTAAAATAGGATTTTAGCATGAAGTTTCATGTTTGGCTACTTAGGTTGTGTTTAATTTTTGCTGCAGCTGTGATATCAGGGGCAAAAATTGCCTCTAGTGTTCTTGTTTTTGTCTCTCCCCTTCTGTGTTTTCTTAGAGACCTATTAAATAGGAACTGAGGCTTGTGGTTCCGTTAGCTGTAATCCTGCTATTATTCAGGAGCTGCACTTACATGGTGGTGAGTTGTGAGCATAGAAGACTTTTTCTATAATCCTAACAGTGATGTCTCAGTGTTTTAGTAAGCCTGAATTGGGTATTCCCCTTCTCCCAGGTTGGTTAGTCTCTGGTAAAACCTCAGTATGTCAGGCACTTGAAAATTAGTTTCCCTTGAAGTTGGGCCTTGTTAAGGAGAGGAGAGAGCTCTGTGTGTTGTTCAAAAGGTTACTTTTCCCCTCCTTCTGCATAGGGAGATTTTTCTCCAGTCCTTACAATGAGAACCTAGAGAGTGTCCTGGAGATAAAACTCTTTAATGTGTGAGAGCCTCCCTAAGGCTGGGTTCCCTCAGAGGTTTAAAATTCTCGTTTGTTATCTACATGGAGCCTGCAGCAATTTATCCATATTAGCTTAAAGTATTCCTATGAATATTAGCTGTGGCCAAGGGCTTCTGCTTCATGTAAGCTGTAGTTTTCTGGATCCACCTCTTTGTCTCTGTAGGTTTCAGGGCAGCAGTTGCCCTGTAACCTCAATTCTCTGATGGATCTAGGAAAAGTTATTGATTTTCACTTAGTTCAGTGTTTTTCTTGTCATGAGGATAGGAGTGATGACTTCCAAGTTCTTTACATGTTGACAGACACCAGCAGTTCACCAGGTCTGTTTCTGATCCTTAAATTAATATAGAGTCACCATACATCTCTATGAGCAGGAAATAGTATCTTCATCTTGGAACGCTCTGGCTACATTGTCCTAGAACATGAGCACTTAGTCAGTGGAGCTTTCAGACATCCCTCTGGGAGGAATTGTAAAATCTGACCAGTCCACTAACAGATTTCCCTTTTTATCCTTAGTTATTTCTGTTACTGCAATGACTACATTAGACTATGTCACCATGGAAAAGACGTAGCCCTCCCAGCCAAATGCATCCTTGCCCACTACTACCGTAATGCCACACACAGATCAGACTGCAGTAAATTTTTGAGAAAGGATGACCTTGTTAGCTCAGTGTCATGCATGTCTATGCATGCTCCACCTTTGGGCTCCTGAGGTTATAATGCCCCCTCACACATTCAGCCAATGTCCCAAAGTGAACCCACTGTGCCAGGTAGATGAATTAATAGGCACATCTTCAAACCCCAATGCCCCCAACTTAATGGTGAATTCCGTCTCACTATACCTTCCTTTCCTGTAAGTAGGCCCCACTCAGGACCACTTCAGTTCATCAGGCCTTCAAAAATGGGAGAGTTCCAATGCTAGATCTATTTGATTTACCCACTAGTTGTTCAGAGACTAGTCCTATATGCCCAGGGGTATAGAGAGAGGTAACATTGTTAAGGCACCTATGGGTCTTCAGAGGCATCCCCAGAAGCTGGAGCAGTGAATGCCTCCTAGTCTTACATTTTCATAGCCAAGAGGGTCCCTCAGTGTGCTCCAGAGGGATTTGCTTCCTTCAAGTGGAGTGGCTAACACCATTGATATGGTAGCTGCTCATACAAATACATGAAATTCTCTATTTCTGCCCAAGAAAATTCTTTTCTATTGGTTGCTCTGATATTTTTACTTATTTATTTTATTGTGATTATCACTAAGAGGCCTGAAAATGGCCAGGACCCACAGTCATCAAACAATTCACTTGACTGATCATCATATTCAGGAAGCTTGCTTGAGTATTTACCCTGAAGTCAAGACTTTCCGATGCCTCCTTTCCCAACCTTTCTGTTTTTTTTTCTCCTAGTGCCTTTATTCATGAAAAACTGACACCCATATGTCCCCCATCTTGCCTAGCCAAGGCCTATTCATGAAAAATGATGAAACCAGTCAGCGGCAAAAAGGCATGGTTTCTACTTTTCTTCACTCAGTAAGAGACAGTGGGGGAGGGTCAGGATAAGCAATGAAAAGCTCAAGGCCATTTCAGGGATCAGACAATAGGTATGAGGAGAATTCTGGCTCACAGGGGCCTCTGAAGATACCCTCTGGCATTTGTCCCCAGTATATAGTTGCTAGTTGTAGGCCATTTCCTATTCAGTTTGTAGATTAATCCCCATGGGAGAGGGGTGTGCTGCCCATTGTCCCCATCTCTGTACCTCACCTGGTGCTGGTGAGAATTGAGGAACACAGGTTACTTGGTTTTCAGGTCAGCAACGCAGGTGGCCACGGGAAGTCTACAGGGTGTTGTGGGCGAGGCATCAAGTTCAGCGAGGACAATCTTGATTCAATTCCTGGCTCTATACTTGCGAGTTGTGTGGCTACAAGAAAATCACTTAACCTCTCTGTGCCTCCATTTTCCTGGAAAGAAAATGAAGATAGTTATCATGACCTCCAAGAGCTATTCTGAAGCACAGAAATAAGATCAAACATGTTCAATGGTTGGCACCAAGAAAATACCTGAGAAATAGCAATTCCTTCCTATTCTCCCACACAGCAAGGTTTAGTAAATGACACTAGGTTTATCTGAGTCATCATTCAGCTTCATAAAAACTGAACATGCCTCCCTTACCCCACAATTAATTCCCCCAAATTAACATTCTGGAACATTGAAATTAGAAGGCACTTTTCATGTCACCTTGTCTAACCTGCCCATTTTGCAGATGATAAAACTGAGGCCTAGAGGGCTCAGGGCTCTGTTCAAAGCCTGCTGTTTCTCCTCTATTACCCCTTGCCCTATACCTTGTTAATTATCACCTTTTTGAAGTCCATGTTTACAAACTCTAGTGAATGTTTAGCTATTTGCACTTGTAGTACTATTTTGTGAGGTGTGGCCATGTGGGGTTATTTCAGGTCTTTCACTATGGTCTCCCAAAAGGAAAATATTGTTGATTGCTCACAGTTCCCTAAGGGTGTCAAGCCAGTAGTATCTGGCCACGGGCCATGGGTTCCAGATACTTTCTTCCTGAGAGAAGACTGTTCTCTCTGGATGCACTTGTCCATTGGTATAAATGCATTCTGCCATGGCCAAGGTGGTGAGGCTGGAGGAGAGAGTTTTACATAAGCTGGGATAGTCCAATCAGCTTCCTGGCCTTTAGTGGCTGCTGACTTTGCCAGACACCTGTGCTCTGGGGAGACAGCTCTCCCTCTGTCTAACCCCAGGGTCTGCTGCAGATCTAGAGACCCAGAGTTGTTGGATCTTCAAGGCCAGAGGCCTCCAGCAGCCTAGAACTCTGTTTCCTCACCAGCCAGCTAGTCCATTTCTGCACTGTAGCCTTTCCACAGTGGGACAGGCCACAAGTGGCCTTGGGGACAAAAATTATGAAAACAGGCCAATCAGAACATCATCAGGAGTGTCCTGCAGCTTCCCAAAGAGTTGTTCTCACAGTGTCAAATGCATTAAGTCCTACCAGGGAGAACAGGAGAGACGTGACTGAAATACTCTTGGAGCCTCCTCAACCCCAGGGTGCTGCACTGCACAGCACCCACTGCAATGCCACCCTCAGCCCCCAGCTTCTGGGTTACCCTTGGGAGAAGATATCAAAGTCCAAATGATGGCAGGTAGGTGGAATGGAGACACACATCAGAATCTGGCTGGGTGTGGGGAATACAGGACAGGTTTGAAAACTCCCCAGATGATTCTGATAAACTTCTCCCTCTGTCTAGGTTTGCCAGACTTAGCAAATAAAAACACAAGACACCTAGTTAATCTGAATTTAGATAAACAATGAATCACTTTTAATTTAAGTATGTCCTATGTGATATTGGGAGAATACTTATACTAAGAAAAAACTGTTTATCTGAAACTCAATTTTAACAGGGCATCATTGTATTTTATCTGGCAACTCTCCCACCTTCCCCACCCTCAAACAGGAAAGTGACATTTTAAAATACCATTCTAAAAAAAAACACACTCACTGTCAAACAGTAGAGAAGTATAAAAAATAAAAATAAAAACCAGGCATAATTTTACCATCCAGAGTTGTTAATCACTGCTAACATTTTGGTCTATTCCTTGGCAGTCTGCCTGTGTGTGTCAGAGGTTTATTGTCAACCATATATTTATGTATAAAATTTAGATTACACCAAACATAGTTTTATGTTATCCTTTTCCTCTGTAACATTATATATATATGTGAAAATATATAACATTTTCTTATATATAATACATAGCATTAAACACAAGAATATGTTATATATATTTCACATAAAAATTTAACGTTACATATTTTCTTATGTTTTAAAATATCCTTTTGAACATGTCTTTTTTAACTTTTATTTTAAGATCAGGAACACATGTGCAGGTTTGTTATACAGGTAAACTCATGTCATGGGAGTTTGGTATACATATTATTTCATCACACAGATAATAAGCACAGTACCTGATAGTTATTTTTTTGGATTCTCTCCCTCCTCCTACCCTCTTCCTTCAAGTAGACCCAATGCGTATTCTTCTCCTCTTTGTGTTCTCATCATTTAGCTCCCACTCATAAGTGAAAACATGCGGTATTTAGTTTTCTGTTCCAGAGTTAGTTTTCTAAGGATAATGGCCTCCAGCTCTATCCATGTTCTTGCAAAGGGCATGATCTCATTCTATTTTTTTGCTGCTGCATAGTATTTCATGGTGTATAGGTACCACATTTTCTTTATCCAGTGTATCACTGATGGACGTTTAGGTTGATTCCATGTCTTTGCTATTGTGAATTGTACTGTAATGAACATAGGCATATATGTGTCTTGATTACAGAACAATTTATGTGCCTTTGGTTATATACCCAATGACATGGTTTGGATCTGTGTCCCCACACAAACCTCATGTTGAAATGTAATCCCCAGTGTTGGAGGTGGGGCCAGGTAGGAGGTGATTGCATCATGAGGGCAGATTTCCCCCTTGGTGCTGTTCTCCTGATAGAGAGTGATTTCTCCTGAGATCTGGTCATTTAAAAGTGTATGCACCCCCATCCCCTTCCTTCTGCTCTGGCCATGTGAAGTACTGGCTCTCCCCTTTGCCTTCAGCTATGATTGTAAGTTTCCTGAGGTATCCCCAGAAGCTGAGCAGATCCCAGCATCATGCTTCCTGTACAGCCTATGAAACCATAAACTAATCAAACCCCTTTCTTTATAAGTTATCTACTCTTAAGTATCTCCTTATAGCAGGGCAAGAATGGACTAATATACACAATTAATGAGATTGCTGGGTTGAATGGTAACTCTGCTTTGGGTTCTCTGAGAAATCACCAAACTGTTTTCCATAATGGCTGAACTAATTTACATTCCCACCAAAATTGTGTAAATATACCATGTTTTCTGAAACCTTTATCAGCATCTTTTTTTTTTTTTTTGACTTTTTAATAATAGCCATTCTGACTGGTATGAGATGGTATCTCATTCTGGTTTTGTATTGCATTTCTCTAATGATCAGTGATACTGAGCTTTATTTTTTCTATATGCTTGTTGCCTACATGTATGTCTTCTTTTGAAAAGTGTCTGTTCATGTCCTTTGCCCACTTTTTAACAGGGTTGGTTTTCTTCCCCCTGTAAATTTAAGTTCCTTATAGATGCTGGATATTAGCCCTTTGTCAGATGCATAATTTGGAAATATTTTCTTCCATTCTGTAGACTGTTTGTTTTGCTGTGTCTGCTGATAGTTTCTTTTGCTATGCAGAAGTCTTCTGTTTAATTAGATCTCATTTGTCAATTTCTGCTTTTGTTGCAATTACTTTTGGCACCTTCATTATGAAATCTTCACCAGTTCCTATGTCTAATATGGTATTTCCTAGGCTATATTCCAGAGTTTTTATAGTTTGGGGTTTAAGTCTTTAATCCACCTTGAGTTGATTTTTGCATATGGTGGAAGAAAAGAGTCCAGTTTCAATCTTCTGCATATGGCTAGCCAGTTATCTCAGTACAATTTATTGAATAGGGAGCCCTTTCCCCATTGCTGGTTTTTGTTTGCTTTGTCAAATATCGGATTGTTCCAGGTGTGTGGCCTTATTTCTGGGCTCTCTGATCTGTTGCATTGGTCTGAGTGTCAGTTTCTGTACCAGTACCATACTGTTTTGGTTACTGTAACCCTGTAGCACAGTTTGAGGTCGGGTAACATGATGCCTCCAGCTTTGTTATTTTTGCTTAGGATTGCCTTGCCTATTTGGGCTCTTTTAAATTTCATATGAATTTTAAAATAGTTTTTGTCTAGTTCTTTGAAGAATGTCATTGGTAGTTTATAAGATTGAATCTGTAAATTTCTTCTAATGATACTGATTCTTCCTATTCATGAGCAAGAAATTTTTTTTCCATTTTCCATAAAGAGATGTGTCATCTCTTTATGAGCAGGTCTTTTTAATGGCTAAAAATGCTCAATGTTATTTCAACTCAGGCATGTAGGGGAATGAGAGAAACAGATCTGCTCAGTTTCTCAATTTTTGCAGGTGACAATTAGCAATCAGATGCTTGATACAGCAAACATCCAGCACTATGCCAGACCCATAGGAGGGGTTCATAAAAAACTTGTGGATTAAGTAAATAAATATATTCTCTCATTATAATGAGAGAACAAATCCCTTTAGACCCTGGAAGCACTCTAACCTCAACACAGTACACAGATTTCCATTGTATAGGTTAGTGATGAAAGAAGTAGGGACTGTTTGGACTTCAGCAAGAAGTTGATAATGCAGCATTCTGGCCTTTGATGTTGAACACAGGCAAAGTTGTGATTTTACTTTAAATTTCATAAAACACTTAGCATCCATTTGGTGTCAGGCCCCACTGTAGGTATTCCAACACAGAAATGAAGAGGAGGAATGACATACACATGAAATTATATTTGTATGTGGTGATGATGAATAGATAATAAAAGAATTAAACATAATATTTTTATAGTGACGAATGAGAACTGAAACCATTATAAGCAGACAGCTTACTGTCCATCCTAATATGATGCAACTATTTGCCTCAGCATTAATATGACTGCACTACTCCACAAAATGCTAGCCCTAAAATTACGAAGCTGCAAATAATGTTATTATTTGTTTCAGGAAGTTCCTGAAAATGCATGACTCTTCACTAGTCCTCATCTAAGTAGCTGGCTCCATCTCAGAACAACCCAAGGGGTTTGCATACCCCTCAAGGTGCTATGTGAAAACCTCACCTCACTATGTTCATCAGTGCCAGCCTATATTATAACACAACTTTGCACAACTCTAATTAGTCTCTACATTAAAAGACCCACCTAAACTAGTTCCTCAAAATCTTATCAGTATTTCATCCTTGATCTCCCCTTCTAAGATGCTTCTAAGATTCCATCAA